AGGGCGACATATCCATTTTTTTTCCAATTTTACTTTGATATGTGAAACTTTGGCTCCTCTGTTTGTGGACACTTTCATCGATTTATTCAATCCACGGGTCCTCACTCTTTGCAGGATTGAACTACCAATCATGAGGGAGGATCCCCTTATTGATGTCGGTTCTTCTTCATCTTTTGTTGATTTCAGGGTTCTTGGTGTTTCCTCTTCTAATATTGGGGCGCATATCTCTGTGTTAGTGCTTGACTCGGTCACACAATTAACGGTGTTGCACTGCACATGTCTAGAAATGCCGCCTGAAAAAGTAAGCCTCTCTGTAGATGTCTCCTTGTGTTTAACTGCCAGTTTGTAGGTTTGTGTACTGGCAGACACTAAGATTTGGGCTCCCTAGAGCTCAATTTTTCTTTTAGTTTTTCTACCTCAAGGGTGAGGAATTTGACAGTCTCGGTTAATTGTTTGATCGTAGCTGCACTATTGCAGTTGCTGCATTCATTGAGCTCATTAATTGTTTCTACATTTATTGAAAGCTTTTGGTGTTGAAGCTGACTGGGGCTGTGGCTGGGTAGATATTTCAGCGATGATAAGTTCCACATCATTTACGAGTTCTTGCAGGAATTTTTGTACCAGGTGAAAGCTGCATCTCCTTGGATATGGAGGGAGTTTGTAGATTTGTAGAGTGTACCAGTTACAGTTTTACATGGGGTCTTATAAATCCATCCATTTCTATTACTCCGATTGTAGAAAATCAGGTTCTTCTGCAAGTCTTGATATTTTAGAATAGCCCTCATCCTCAAAAGTAATGGTGACACTCTCATTATTTAACTTCACTTTCAAATAGTCTGGTATATTCACATCTTCTGTCGTCGATTCATTATAACTTGTAACAAATGAATTTGAAAGTCCACTAAAAGAGTCCAGAATTGATCTAAAAAAACTTGTATTTTAACTAATATCCATTATTTTCCATTGTGTAGCTGTTATCTTCAATATAATCTTACTAACGAGATAAGAGTGCCAGAAAACACGTCTGCTCACCTTGACTGTCTTATCTGTATGACTATGTGAGTGAGATCATCAGGTTTTGACTCAATAGTGATAATTTGTATCCAAATTCTTATTGATCTTCTGCATAGGTATAGTCAGAGTACCTTGAGAAGTATAAAAAAAAAAACAAGCCATTCAAGAGAATGATGAGGTTCCCAAATATTCTTTTCTATGTTTGCAACCAAACTTCTCTTACTCAAATTTAGATTTACAGCGTTTGCCATATCAAGACAAGATTCATAGCTAGATGCAAGACCGAACCCGTCATCTAAACATTACTATTCTATACCCCTTCTCTCGCCAATGTTTTTCTAAAGTTTAAACAGTAGAGTAAAAATGTATGGAACTGAGCTAAGACCAGAAGGTAAAACAGTTGTAGAAGTCTTTCCAACGAAAATCTAGATATTGAGAATAAAATGGGTTTATGTCTAATTGATGGTAACATTTTTGGGGGGTAAACTCACAAAGCCCTAATACATAATAATAAAAGTAGAAATAATTGTTGAGTATGCATTAGATATATCATTGATAATAGTTATCAATGACATTTAATCTCTAACGATATTTTCAAATTGTTATAATAGATCTTATATGACAATATTGGAAACAAAAAATACCCATATATAATCATTTTTTAGACCAGAAATCAGTGAAATGTTTTCACCACAAGATCTAAATTAGAAATAATTCTGAAGGATGCATTTAATATATCATTGATAGCAATTATCAATGACATTTAGACCCAAATGATATTTTTACATGTTATAATGTATCTTTATATGACAATATTGGAATAAAAAAATCCCCATATATAATCATTTCGCAACACCCTTTTAATTTATCATGGTTATCACCACATGATTTTCTCCCTCTTTATATATTTTGGCATACACCATATATACTCACCTGTAATCGGTCCGCCTATAAGTCGGTTGTATTTTCTAGATATTCACATTTATATTTGTTTCTGAAATCGTCTGGATTCAAAACATTTTGCTACTCCAATGTTGAAGTTCCAATTTGGTATGATGAATGATTAATTATTTACAATACAGAACTTAATTCTTCTAACAGAACTCCCACTGTAGAACATAAAATGTAAACAGCATCCCAGAATTCCAGAGGACCAGTTCTGTACCACGTGTGGTGTTCCCTTGTGTGTGGAGTGTACCAGCTCTAAGGATCACAGCAGATATAACCTGAATTAGGAATAATTTTTTCAAAAAAAGTATAATTGTGACCGGGCGCTTTTATAACGAGGTGAAATTGTTTGCAAGTGTGAAAGGGCGAAAATAAGACGGGTCAAATTTTACCCTGCATATAGTACATTGAAAAAAAATATGCAACTTTCGGAAATTTAAATTGCTCAGATGACAAATAGATGACAATCATATATATAAGCTATTTTTGTTGTCCTAGAAAAAAGGCTTTTTCGGAAAATATTGCACGGCAGTATAAATGAACTTAACGATGAAATGTGAAGTAGGGATCGGCATTCATTGTTTTTCGATGACATTAGGTTCAGAGCAACAAATTAACCGTTACACATTAATGACACATATCAATTCTGTGACTTCCAAAAATCCCTTTAGAATTAAACTATTTGTCTCCATCATTTAAAATTTAACCGTGGCGCAAGAATTTTGTTAAGTACTTATATTCGCGGTCATTTCGCGACCAATTCGCGAAGGAATCCCGAAATAAATTGAAAAAACACACATATCACACAATATGAATCACTATTCAAATACAAATAGCATTAATTATTTGGAAAAATGCTTAATGAATTAAAAAAATTATATATATATATATATATATATATATATATATATATATATATATATATATATATATATATAATATATATATATATATATATATATATATATATAAAAATATATATATCGATTTAACCTATTGTAGAACTAAAATTATTTCCACGATATACTGTGAAAAAGACCACCCCCCCCCCCCAACACACATACACACATAAGTACTAAGTAAATAGATATATTGTCATAGAATCTGAAAAAAAAAGTATCAATGATAACATTTTTTAAGTTATTTAACCATTATTTAACAAATGATTATTTTTGAAAGGTAAAAAAATTAACATACTGTGTTCATTAAAGATCGTCAGAGAAAATTCTGGTAGGTCACATAAGACACATATGATGTTTTGACTCGCAGAGCAAGTGTAATGTTAGAAACATGGTTAACAGCAGAACTCTTTAAGCATAAACTAATTGATATTAAAAATTTCATTTGCAATTAACGTGAGGTGTGATAAAACGACTTCATGTGCCTAGCGAGGTCTAGAAGATAATTGATTGTGCAAGCCAAACAATGGACCGTAATTAGTGTAAATAAAGTTTAGCATTAAAAACTGAATGCTAAAAATTCATAATATTTATCGTACTGACAATGACGACCTTATTGTGGCGCTAATACTTTAGCTGTGACGGAGCTATGGCGCTGATATTTTAACTGTGGCGCTAAGGAATTTGACTGTGGCGGGGCCGCCACGTTAAATGGCCCATGGAGAACCCTGCATATACATCAACATGTAGGCTTAAATAGATAATTCTGGTTAACCATCAGGACTATCATGTCTTATAAATGTAAATTGTTTTTCTCTCTTTTTGATAGATTGCCTTATGTCAATATTATTTCCTTAGCTGTATAAATAATAAATGGCTGTCATGTTTCACTGATCATATGTCAGACTTTTTGAATACCCCCCTTCTATTTGGAAAGTTCGACATAACATTGGCATTGAACATTGGGTCGTATTTACCCCCCCCCCCCCTCTTTCAACAGGCATAGTTTTCAATGTAATTAAAGAAGGATGTGGAAGGGTTTGGGAAAAAATTGGTACCAAAAGAAGTTTGATCCTATTAAGAGTTCAAAGTCATTTGTAATGTCTTCTGTCTTCAGCAGAAGACCTTTTTGTTCTTCTTAGGTTTTTTTTCACTTTTATATTTTTCTTAACAATTTTGTGCACGCGATTTCTCAAAATCGGCTTTATGGATTACCATGAAACTTTCAGGACTTATAAAGCATTTCTAAACCCCATATTCAATTTTTCCGCTTCGATGCCGTCAATTTCGGTCCAGAGATATCGTCTATTTTCTGATTTTTAGGGTCATTTTGTCCCCATTTAGGTAAGGTAGAGCTATACATGTAGATGTGCACAAGGTTCTTCAATTTTACCTGAAGTAGCGCAGGTCGCGGCGCTCGCTGTGGTAAAAAATAGGAGTACCAAGAATTTTAAAATTTTCAAAACTTTTTCTTTAATATTTTTTACCTGTAAATAATTTGTTAAAATATGTTGAGCGAAATTTGTGCAAAACTAAACGACCTTTAATGTGGTATCAACAAAAAAGGGCTGTCTCCTTAAATAAGGGATCTAGAGGGACTGAAATTCTTTTTTCAATATGTGAAAAACTATTGAGAATTTGTAATACATTACTGAAGAATAATTGTTCAGAATAATAAATTGCAGCTAGTAAGATCATCAAAAGTCAACTAACGAAGTCACTTCCGGCCGAACCAGAATAGTCAGAAATGCCATTTTATTTTTTTCTTTCTCGACAAACTTTTGGGTGATTTTAGCCACCAATTGAAGGACTTAACTAAAAGTCACTGGAGAGGTCTGGACTCATTCTTTTCCCTTTATTGACGTAACTTCCGGCCCAATTTAACAGAAGACCTACTCGTTGCCTTGCAACAAGCTTTGCTCTAGTCAATTTTTTCATAGGGTCGGAAAGTCTCGTTCACTTTCACTTTCGTTTTATAACTTCCGGGGAGTTCAGCGTTCTTGGAGACAATGGATTACCGCTTCGCATTAGGTTTTAAGCCTCGCAGCGGACTAGTAAAGTCTGTCATGTCGTTTGTTGCCCGATTATTGAAAGGAAGAGGGGAAAGTGGATGGAGTTAAACAGGTAAATGGCCTTTAATTGCTTTTTTTGTTTTATAAAGTGACGTACATACAAGCTATCCCGAGTGGGGCACGATTAGCGAATATTTGAAAGCATAAAAAGGAAAATTAAAATAGTTTTTAAGCTGAAATAGCGTGTTTTGAAACTAAAAGGTTTCCCAAAGATTGGTTCCATAACTTTATTCCATTGATTTAGCTCACGGGACAATAGAATCAGGTCGGGATATAGTGTGCAAAGTCATTGAAAACAAATGGGAAATACATGTACATATACATGTATCAAAATGCATCAATCACGGGGAAAAGGGTTGATAACTACATTTAAACATGATCCTGATAGAAATAACATTCGTTATTTAATTTATTAATAATATCATGCATAATATTATCATTACAGTAGATATAAAGTAGATGAGCTAATTATGTACTCTATCCTGTTGATCCAGAAATAAGAATGTCAATCATTACTTCTTGCATGTACACAGGCATGTACCAGGTATATATTTAATTTCAACATTAACTGTAAAGCTTCATGAACCCTTCCAAAATTCTCTTAAAATTATGAGAAGACATTTTTTTCCTAAAATACAGGAATTAGCAGCAGCGGAACTAGGAATTTCATAACTGGGGATGGGTTGCAGTAGTAGGTGAAGGGATTTGGTGGCTGCATGGAATGGAAAAGACTTGGCGGGAATGCAAGGGCAAAGACCCCATAAAATTGAGGAAATTCCAACACCTGGCGTTATCCCTTTGATTTTAGAATAGCATAAGCAAAATTTCATTTAAAAAATTCAAAGGGGTAGGGGGCACATGCCTGTCGTGCTTGCCCTGGATCCGCCTTTGATTAGATATTGGAAATTTTCTCATTTGTCGTACATGTAGTACTACAATTTAACTGTGTCTCCTAACAGGCCCTTACTGGGACCATAGGATATTCATCATTCAACAAAAGAACATTTTATCTATTCTATATATTTTCAATTTATGTTACAGGGCTCCAGAAGGTACTACAAAAGGACAATGCTTCGGCTGAATGTGTCATCCATGTACCATTATCTGTTAATGAGGTTTATCTCATAGTTTTCTTACATGAAAACTTCCAAGTAATTAATGATGGAATTCATTTTAAATCAGGTACGGAGTAAATTTTTGGACTGCACTTTTCTTTACTTCAATATTTAAAACTTACTAGTTCAGTATCAAGTTCAAAAAAGCTCACATAACATGGCAAATCAAGGGACCATATACTGTAAATCACTTTTCATTCGCGAGAACTTTATTTCGCGTAATTACGCGAGACGGTATGCTCGCGAAAATTTCATTCTCGCGTATAATAGAATTCCTTATGATTATATAGAGCAACGACCACAATTCGTGAAAATTTTGTCTCGCTAATAAAGAGTCAATGATTATCTCGCGAAAATAAGGTGTCGCGAAAATTAAGTGATCTACAGTACCTTAAATGCTAATTTAATTTGTCATACTTTCTTAATAAAAATAAATCTGTAAATAACATTTGTGAACAAGTACTTTTCTCCTCTGTGTGCCTTACATTCATCCCAACGACTGAAATACACATTCAACATTTAAGTTCTGCATAAAAATTGCTAACTGTGCTGTATGTTTGCACACTTGTTTCAATGAATAACCTTTTCTTAAAAATTCTTCAGTATAACAAGACCAATATTGCATGCTTATTTTAATACACTATAAATACACTTCAGAACAAATTTAAGGAAGTCATGGTTTAATTTGTATATTTGGTAGTTACAATTACATGTGTATTTAGTTTTCTATATAAAGGATGTACACACGCATATTAAGTTTATACAGTTAAACCCATTTAGTAGAACACAGATACATGTATTGCGAATTCACAGATATCTAAGTTATCTTGTATCTCATGCTATATAAATTTAAAAAATCTTTTAACGGTTATAACGAATTATGAATTTAGCAAAGTAATTTCATAGGCCTCAGTGACTTTTTTATAACCAAGTTTTACTGCATCATTTTAATGCTAGTATTCAAGAAAGCATTCACTTTTTTCTTGTACACATGAAGTTGATCACTTCCACCTTATGTTTTTCCAGGTTCTCATGAAAAGTGTTTCATTTTGCAGTATGCACCATTCTGCTACAAATACCGGGAAGGCCGATGGAACTGACATCATTCAACCCCTCATGACACTGATAATTCATTAACTGGAAGAGAATTTCCTTTGGGACAAACTAACTGTTTCAACATTTTTCATCTACAAGTTGATACTGATGAAATTTTGTTTGAAGTAAGTTAAAGGATAATTGAGTACTAAAAATACAAGCCAGATGAAATACAAAAGGGTTGATACAAGTCATTTAAAATTTTCATTTCTTTGCAGGTAGCTATGAGTGCACTGAAAGTATTCTCAGGATCTCGTCCGACATCACAGGTACAACTGGTCACTGTGCATTCTTGGTTATGTAAGCAGGCATATTGTGAAGGCGGTGATATACGTAGCTCCAATTCAAAATGATGCTTGACTGTTTTCCTTCGGTTTATAAGTAAACTTGGATCGATATCTGATGCAGTAACATAGAGCCATGTCATGTTTTAAATTACATTTTCCAACTATCACAGAGTACTGAAATAAAAGCGATTTTGATTCAATCTATTTTTTTTTTTTTCATAGTATGTAACATAACATTCTACAGGAATTCAAATAAATTACCAATTATTATTAAATGTAAATCTTCTGAAGATGAAGGTTTTGCTTTGTTCGATCCTTTGCTGATAGAGCTACTTACCTTTAATAATGTCATGACAGGATAGGTACATGGCTGGTCTTCATGCTCGATAAGTTCTCGATCAAAACATCCACTGCAAGATGTGCAGACAATAACCTGTAATTAAGCAAGCTTCTGTTACATGTCATTTTGAATTTTGGTTTATATTTTGCACAGTTGTATGCACACCTGATAATAATTAGGTGCCTGACAAATAATGAGTTGCTGTTGTAAATCTGGCAAATATCTATTTATTTGACACAAATCAGAATCTTCTTCATTAAATTTCATCTATAATTCTAGAAGAAAATCAGAATAAAAATTGTCCTTTTTATACACACGCACAAAATGATTTCATTTAAAATTTCTGGTATAAAAATTGTGTGTTTGTTATATCTTCATATTTAGGGTGCCCCTACCAAGGCTAACAATAAATAAAATTGTTTGATGTACTCCGACTGACCTGTCAACATCATCCCTACCCATTAGAATAATTTTTTTCAGCACTTCAATTTTTTTTTATTTTCCCCCCTAATTTCCATAGATGTTTTAAAGCGAAGGTATAATTTTTTTTTAATGTCTGTGATTATTTAATATAACAGTTATCAATTCGTTCAATACTGTAATGCCAAAAAAATTACCTACCAACCAACTTTGATAAAAAGTGGGTTGGAGTACATCAAATAAGAATATTTTAAGTTATGGCCAATGTTGACTATTATATTTGTTTTTTTTTTAAAAATTCCATATATGTAATATAAAATTATACATTTAATCTGTATACAAGGCTGTTTCACCCAATTTTAATAGTGAGGTGAGATGACAGTACAGATGAATTATTGGTAAATGTCTAAAACCGTGGGGTGGGGGTTGAGGGTAATGCATCAATGGACAATAACAGACCTCTTTGTCATTCTATGATATACCACGTATGAGAATAAATTTTATCCATTTATAGAATTTACCAGCTTAGTGTGGACTTTCAGGAAGATGTGGCATTCTTGACGTTACCTAATTGTATTCCCCATTATGTAGCCCAGAGAAGGTTCCATGTTCGTTCGCCCGATTTCTTGTTCGCCCAGATTCCGCTAGCCCTAAAACTTGTTCGCACAGGGTCCGTTCGCATTAATTTAATGTAGAATAAAATCTAATGAATTTCTTTCCTAATTTTTGTACATTCAAAATAAAACAGACAGTCACTGTGTCTGTCAGACGTTATATGTGCATGGTCAGCGGTCAACCTATTAACGGCTCAGTCCTTTAATAGTTTTCAAAACAAAACATAGCGCAAATCGTAGAAATAACTCAGATGTATCCCCCTAATTCACATTGAAATATCTATTTAACTATAGTGCAAATACTTAGTTATTAAATAAAACTTACAATAGAATCAAATCAAAAATTAATTTATTGCTCTTCGATAGTATCAGAATTTGAGAAAAAAAAAATTCAAGTTCGTAGGGGAAATAAATAGAAAAACATAGGTATTAAATCAAAGATTATGAAGCTCACCTCGACGAATGTTATCAGTTTAAATAATACAAATCTCACATAATAATTTCTTAATATTTAGAATTCATCCCCAAAACAATAATCTTGCAAATTGTGTTTATCCCTTACATGGCATATACACATTTCTACGCGTGTAGCGTGAAAAACATGTATAGTGTAAACAAATATTCATAACTGTTAATACTGCATATATCAAGGACTTCAAGTTCATTCGGATTGATCTGTTCCCAAAACTTTAACCTGGTCTCTTGTATGGAAAATATAGGTCAGATCCAGCATCCGAGGCAAGTCTGGTAGTGTCCATCCCTAGATGCATCATCCATGCATGTTTGGTCCAAATAGGGCTTATAGTTCCTGTGGAATGGACTTGCTCCTAAAATTTAACCTGGGACGCCGATGCTAATGCCAACACCAGGGGTATAGCATAAGCTCATCTTGACTTTGTCGAGGTGAGCTAAAAATGATATACTTGTATGTTAATTTTTAATTCATATATATACAAGTATATATATTATATAAGCATTGGGCAAACCTCATACAGGGCGAACAAGATATTGGGCGAAAAATATTTCGGACGAACGGATTCTGCGCTAACGTACACTTGCGAACAAGTAGATCGGGCAAACGAACCCGTTACACCCAGACAATGCCATGCCCTACTGAAAGTCCAAACTAAGATGAAAATCGTCCTATGCCCTAGAACTTATTTTGTTGCATCAATTTCATACCTGTATTTGATTTGCATTTTGAAGAATATTGATCAAAGTCTTAGGTACTGCTTAAAGCAACTGCATCTTTCAGCTGTGTTCCTCAACCACGTTCACCTGTACATCTGCTATAGAATAAGTTTTAATGTAATTATGTAACTAAGATCAAGGAATAAATTGAACAGACAGACATTAAACCAATTGCCCACACCATGTTCAGGGAACATACGCTTTTTAATTAAGAAATTTGGTTGTGTAAAAATTGTTATTGTAGTGATATGAATTTTGTTAAACAGCTGTTAAATGTTGAATACAGAGAACTAGCAAAATATGTAAACATCTAGTCCTTGGGAAATAAATGTCCACAAATATTGAATTCTCGATCCACTGACATACAACAGGTAAAACTTACTGAAAAAACGTATTTTTAATAAACTATTTACCCAAACAAAAGTGATGCAGCCACAATATGACGTTTGTACCCATCGGACACTGACAAAACTCCTCCTCTGTAATCAGCTGATAATAACATTATCGTCCTCTGATTTAAGAAAAATTTGTAAACAGGTTAATTGAATGGATGATTGGGAAACTTTTTCATTCGGGTATGACATAAAACACTTCTTTTTCGCTCAAAATAAACACGAAACAGATGACATTATCTGACTTGTTTACCTGTACTTTGATCGAAATTTTCCTCGTTCACACTCGCATCCAAGCTTTTATGGCACGCAATTCATCCATCGTAAGTCGGAGAACCCTTCTGCTTTGTAAAACTACTTAATTTTTTCTCGAAAGCTCTGTATAAACCAGAAACATGCTTAAACAATACACAACTCTAATGTGTCAGCTGCCCGGAAGTGAAAAATTATCGTAAAATCTCGCGAGTCACGTGACGAGACTTTCCGACCCTATTACTTTATATATGTACATAATTAACGCCGCAAAATGCGGCGATGGGGTCTGGACAACTTCCCTGACCCCCTCTAGATCCACACGTGCAAGTAGAATAAAAGAAAAAAGGAGTTTTCAGGCACTATAATTTTTTAAAACTTTCTTGGTTTTACGACGATTTAAAAAAGATATTTTTTATTCAATATAATATTAACCAAAAACACTGTGCCGGATAATTATCCCACTTCAAAAGTGGCATTTTGGCGCCCGCCAAATTTTCATTTCACATAAAAATCATGTATACCAAGTGGTAGACCATCACTCACAGAGTTCATAACTACCTTTGTTACAGGTAAATCACACCTGTCAGGTGAGATAATCCTATGGGAAAAATAAAGTTCCTATAGGAAAAATAAAATTCCTAAGGGATATTATCAAAATCCTGCAGGATTTCTTAATTTCCTGTAAACTAAATTACTATGGGAGAATTCAATCTCCTGTAGGAATACAATTTCCTATGGGAGAGAGAAAAAAATCCCTTAGGAAAAATATATCCTATAGGATTTCTTAAATTCCTTTAGGATTCTCTTTTTCAGTCAGAAATTCCTGTAGGAATTTTTTTCACTTTTGAATTATTTACTTGCTCCTAAGGGAGAAAAATATCCTGTAGGAAATTTTAAATTCCTATAGGATTTCTTCTTCTCCTATATGAATTTGATTCAAATACATTTAGCTACAGCTAAAAATCAGCAATATACCTTATATTGTGTCAAAAGAAAGAATGACTTGAAAAAATATAGATGAAAACACACATTTACAACTGAATATTGATAAATAACATTCTGCAGCTGACCAATTATTAAGGAAGGACCAAATAGATAGGTCAAATTTTTCCTCAAATTCAATTTTTCTAAAACTTTTATATTTTGTTCTTGGATACAGAATCTCTCTTTATATATGATATGAAAGAAATTCAACCGCACATTTTTTGCCCACATAGTCTGAAATATGGCCTTTCAGATCCCTGTAAGAAGTTTGTGAAATCAGACATTTGACTTGAGAATGAGCCTTATTTTAGATTTTTCTATTGATCTATTGCAAATTTGTGTAATACTTTTACTAAAGACAACCTTTTTGTTACTTTAAATCAGTAAATCACATTAATACTGGAAAATCTGGGTAAAATATTCAGTAAAAAAGAACATACATTGTGTCAGAAACTGAAAATTCACATGTAAATATCCGACAGTTTAAGTTTTCTTAAGAGAAAATGCATAATTCAATTTTTACAAAAAATTAACAGAATGATTCAAATGGGTCCTAGAATAAAATGTGTAAAAATAAAGAAAATTGCACCGGTGGTTTCAGATATTTTGGTGATTTAAAAAAAATTCAATGGCAGAAAACTAAAAGATTCAGTAGATGACGTCACAATATTTGACCTTTAACCTCTTGATATGACCTTGACCTTTGTTGTACATAAAGAATAGAGACTCCTCATATATGTGTCCAAATATCAGCCCTCTACTATTTATGGAACAAAAGTTGCAGTGCCAGTGCACTGCATTTTATAACAGACTGTTACATGCTTGTTTATTGCACTCAGATAGCGTAAACACATTCCAAAATGTAAGCTCCCAAATGACCAATCTATAGGATTCTCTAATTTTTTCACAAACAGTGGGATTTGAACCCGTGACATCAACTTCTTCTTAGAAACTCAAGAGCAGACACTTTAACCACAGTGCCACAAGGGTGACCTGCTTTTACAAGAAAAACAGCACAAGATAATGGAAGCATTCTTTGAGATATATTTTTTTTGGGGGGGGGGGGATTGCTGTCTAATATTATATCTTTTTCTATATCTAGAAAGGTCATGCTTTTACAAGTAAAATTATACCAAATTTGTCATCTTTTATTTCAAAATAAAAAAGATATGGTCATTTAAGGGAACACACCATTGGCGATTTACTCAGTTCAACATGATAATGGAAGCATTCTTTGAAATAATTTTTCTTTTCCTTTTTTTTCTTTTTTTTTTTTTTTTTTTTTTTTTTTTTTGCTTTTTGAATTTAAATCTGTTTATTTTTAAAAAGATCATGCTTTGACAAGAAAAATAATACCAAATTTGTCTTAATTTTTTTGAAAATAAAAAAGATATGGCCATTTAAGGAAACACACCATTATCGATTTACTCAGTTCAGGCATGATAATGGAAGCATTTTTTGAGATATAAATTTTTTTGAGGGGCTTTCTGACATTATAATACCTTTTATATTTAGAAAGATCATGCTTTGACAAGAAAAATAATACCAAATTTGTCTGCATGTATTTGAAAATAAAAAAGATATGGCCATTTAAGGGAACACATTGTTGTCAATTTACTCAGTTCAACATGATAATGGAAGCATTCTGTGACATAATTTTTTTTTTTTTTTTTTTTTTTTTTTTTTTGGGGGGGGGGGCTTTTTCACTTTAAATCTTTTAATATTTTGAAAGATCTTGCTTTGACAAGAAAAATAATACCAAATTTGTCTTAATTTTTTTGAAAATAAAAAAGATATGGCCACTTAAGGGAACACACCATGGTTATTTGAAACAATTTTTTTTTGTCATTTTGACTTTAAATCTTTTATGATTTAGAACGATCATGCTTTAACAAGAAAAATAATACCAAATTTGTCTTCATTTATTTGAAAAATAAAAAAGATATGGCCATCTTTTATAGAAAGATACACACCAAATTTGTCAATTTTTTTTTATGGCCTAAGGGAACACACCAGATTTACTCAGTTCAACATGGTAATGGAAGAATTTTTTTTTTTGGCATTTTGACTTTAAATCTTTTATGATTTTCATGCTTTAACAAGAAAAATAATAATTTTTTTTTTAAGGGGGGGGGGAAGCATTTTTGAGATATAATTTTTTTTTTGGGGGGGGGGGACTTTTAACATTTAAATCTTTGAAGATTTTGAAAGATCATGCTTTAACTTGAAAAATAATACCAAATTTGTCTGCATTTATTTGAAAATAAAAAAAGATATGGCCATTTAAGGGAACACACCATTATCGATTTACTCAGTTCAACATGATAATGGAAGCATTCTTTGAAATATTTATTTTTGAGGGTGGGGGGCTTTTTGACTTTAAATCTTTTATGATTTAGAACGATCATGCATTGACATGAAAAATAATACCAAATTTGTCTTCATTTATTTGAAAATAAAAAAGATATGTCTATTTAAGGGAACACACCATTATCGATTTACTCAGTTAAACATAATCATGGAAGCATTCTGTGAGATAAATTTTTTTTGGCTTTTTGACTTTATATCTTTTAATATTTTGAAAGATCATGCTTTGACAAGAAAAATAATACCAAATTTGTTTTCATTTATTTGAAAATAAAAAAGATATGGCCATTTAAGGGAACACACCATTATCGATTTACTTAGTTCAACATAATAATGGAAGCATTCTTTGAGATATAATTTTTTTTTTGGCTTTTTGACTTTAAATCTTTTAATATTTTGAAAGATGATGCTTTGACAAGAAAAATAATACCAAATTTGTTTTCATTTATTTGAAAATAAAAAAAGATATGGCCATTTAAGAGAACACACCATTGTCGATTTACTAAGTTCAACATGATAATGGAAGCTTTCTTGGAAATTTTTTTTTTTTTTTTTTTTTTTGGCTTTATGACTCTAAATCTTTTTATTTTTAAAAAAGATGATGCTTTGACGAGAAAAATAATACCAAATGTGTTTTCATTTATTTGAAAATAAAAAAGATATGGCCATTTAAGAGTACACACCATTGTCAATTTACTCAGTTAAACATGGTAATGGAAGCATTCTTTGAAATAATTTTTTGTTGTTGGAATTTTGACTTTAAATCTTTGAAGATTTGGAAAGATCATACTTTGACAAGAAAAATAAAACAAAATTTGTCTTTATATATTTATTTGAAAATCAAAAAGATTTAAGAGAATACACCATTATTGATTTATTGCATTTAACATGGTTTATTAATTTGAAGCAATTTTGAATTTATTATATTTATTGCTTTCTGACATTATATCTTTTTATATTTAGAAAGACCATGGGTTTATCAGAAAAACAACTCCAAATTTGTCATCTTTCAATTAAAAAAAAAGCATAGCCATTTAATGGAAAACTTTCACAATACCTTATTTTTCTGAGTTTTAATAATATGATAATGGGTGCATTAATGTTTAATGACACTTTAATCTTTTAAGATTTAGAAAAATCATATGTATGCTTTTATATAAAAAAAAAAAAAAAAAAAAGCAACAAAATTGTCATTTTTCATTGAAAATGTTTTTAATGTTTCTAAAACAATGGAGGGAAAGATAGATAATATACTAATGCTGGAAAGTGGAGAAATTCTCCCAACTGACAGACTGCGAAAAAAAATCTAGCGCCGTAAATTGCACTTTTTTTTATTACGGGACCTGTAGCTTTATGGTCAAATCCTTATATATAAAAATTATAATGCTACAGTTCTGTGACATAAAATTATATCTCTTATGCTATCGCATATTTTAGATCAAAACCTTTAATTATCTATCAAAAAATCATTTAAGATTTGTTTTTAGCACGGATTACACTCCTTATCTTAATTTGTAGTGATTTTGTTTTATTCAAAATCAGAAAATCAGCACATGCCCATGATCGGCCGTATTTCCGAGAAATCGCCGATTTCGGTGTTTTTTTTTTTTTTTTTTTTTTTTTTTTTTTTTTTTTTTTGTTTTTTTTTTTTTTGTCTCCATATTAAAATTATATTATTTATGCTTTAATTCTTATTAAAAAGTAATTCCAATACACAAAAGGATTAAATGAAAATATTAAGAAAACATATGGGTCCCTGCAAACACTATCAGTTTTTCAAACCCGAGTGTGCATGTACAAGGCGCGGGTACATGTACACTAAAGTGTTTGACGCATGTGTCTTCAAAGCATGCAAATTCAGATTATCATGTAGCACAGGTATCTGACC